ATATATATATATATATATATATATATATATATATATATATATATATATATATATATATATATATATATATATATATATATATATATATAGTATTTATACCCCTACAAGTTTCTCGCATATTCCTTTATTATTTGAAAATAAATTATTATAGTAGCTAGCTTTACAACTCTTTATTTCGCTGTTGACATTATTTCTAGCTTGCTTGTACGCAGTCCAATCAGCCTCATTTCCCGTATAGTGGCAACCTTTTTGAGATGATCGCGCTGATACATATGCTGTTTTAAAACTGGTGATAACCAAAGTGAAAAAGAGTTGCGAATACGTTTTGTCTTCATGGGAGAATGTCGGTCAGCGATTTGCATAAATAAATCACGCCATTTCTCCCAGGCAACAATAGGATTACCAATCATTAGAAAATTGTCCCACGGGACCTGGTTGATATCATTTAGAAAATTGTCATAGTTGAAATGTTTAAATGAGCGATAATTGACGTACTTAGGTGTAGTTTTTGGAATAACAAACTTTCTTGACGCATAAATGACATTATGATCTCTTATCCCGATATTAGAAACCCCAACATCAATATATTTGTCAGGTTCATTTGTGAGGATAAGGTCAATAGTCGTAGCACTATTTTAGTTACACATGTCGGCTTTTTAATGAGTTGTGAAAATTGGTATAGATCGCAAAGCTCAAGCAAAGCATTAGTGCATTGTGAGGGGTTCTGTGAGGAAATATTACAATTAAAATCGCCCAGAAATGTACATTCAATATTTTCGTTTTCAATTTTATCAAGGATGGTTTCAAACAAACCAAACAATTCTATGCTTGAGTTTGGAGGCCTGTACCAGGTACCCACCAAAAATGGTTTTACTTTAGGTTTTCGGACTTCGACAGTTAAAAATTCAAGTGCATCATGTTCTAAGTCGTGTCTGACCACAAAATCTATTGTATTTCTCAACTGTTTGCCACACCGCCACCATGTCTATTACGACGTTTTGTGACTACGGAATAACCATCTATATGATATTCCGCGAGGTCTATACAGGGTGTATCAAAAAAAACTGAACAGATTTAAAATTGCTCTCAATTTCGCAAAACAGCTATTGTAGCTGTTTTTTATATATATATAGCTTCTTTGGGTACTTATAATGTATAATAATGAAAAAAAATTCTCGAACTTAAATTTTGTGAACCAGGGGGGTGTGTCTTTTCCAACAAACTAAAAATGGCTCGCGCACAAAATTTAAAATCTGCAATCATATTTTGAGTTAACAGATGGAAAATTTGTCGGGATTTTAATTACTGTACAAAATTTCAGACAATTTGGTTTAGTTTAAGCCCCTTAACTATTCACGCAAAGTTACAATTTTCCCGAAAAATCAGCTATTTGCATGCTTAATTAATGCAATTGCCTAATTTGCATATGTCAGCAATATGCAAATTAGGTAAAGGCATTAATTAAGCATGCGAAAGGCTGACTTTTTAGAACAAAATGAATAGTTAAAGGGCTTAAACTAAACCAAATTGTCTGTAATTTTGTACAGTAATTAAAAACCCGACAGATTTTCAATCTATAAACTCAAAATATGATTACAGCTTTTAAATTTTGTGCGCGAGCCATTTTTAGTTTGTTGGAAAAGACACCCCCCCTGGTTCACAAAATTTGAGATCGAGAAATTTTTTTCAATATTTTACATTGTAAGTACCCAAAGAAGCTATATATATCAAAAACCAGATAGAAATAGGTGTTTTGCGAAATTGAGAGCAATTTCAAATCTGTTCAGTTTTTTTTTATACTCCCTGTAGTGTCGTCAAGCCGTGTTTCATTCAATATAAGGATATCAACATATTTAGTGGCCATATGAATCCGAAGCTCATCAGTATGTTTTATTACGCTTGCAATATTCAGGGAAGGAATTTTAAATCCCTTTAGTTTTGGTAAACCCAGCTGAAAATTCGGCTTATTACTAATATTAGTATTTGGCGTGTTTACAGCCAATATAGGCTGAGTCACACGAGAATTGGGTTGACCAGGATCATCACTCAATATGGGAATTTGGTTGCTAACTACACAGACCTCTACACAACATAATCAATTTTTGTAATAGTTTATATAATTACTAGTAAGTATTGAATTACCATTTTGAGTTAGGTGGATACCTCCGCGATTAAGTTCCTTAACACCAACTTTGCTATGAGCTATATAGCCATATCCATGTTGATGACATAGCTTCATGAAGGCTTTGTTGGTGGCTTTAGCTTTGGCGTTTAGGTCGGCGTCGGCTCTTGTTATGAGTTCTGAGATAGAAGCCTTAGTTGATTCCGTTTGGACGACTTTAGCTAAATTTATCAAACTCTCGGCGATGGCTTTGGGCTCTTTGAATCTGAGGTAATTTGTTCCACAGTGGATGGCTATCTCAGCAGGGGCATTTTGCATCGTGGACTTAACATAATGATACATGTCATCAACCTTCGCGCCCGAAAATGATTTAACCACGAAACGCTGTTTAACCTCTTTGCCAACGTTCCATCCCTGCACATTTTTCACCATTGAGTCTCCTAGCAGAACTATGGTATTGGAAGAATTTTTTCCGCTGGCTGTGTTGGTTGGAGGCGAATAACGTTGTTCTGTCTCGCTTGATTGTTCATTAATCGACTTCGGACTGTTTTTCGTACCGTTCTTCTTGCCCGTTTTGCTTTTCGCCTTTACTTTGTCAGTTTGGTTTCGACTTTCGAAGCGTTATCACCACAGCAGAGCCTAAGTGATGTTAGGAGACTCGCTTTTTCTTCTTTTAAAATCAGTATTTCTTGGGACTGGACTTGGTTTTGTTGTTCAGCCAGACACAGCTTTTGTTTCAAATTAGCATTTTCTGCTGTTAGTCGTTCGGCTTCAACAGCAGTCATTGATTGTTTGCCACGGATTGCTGTTTGGAGGAAGTCCAAAGTCTGTTTTTAAGCTTGCCAATTTAATTTTTACTTCGTCCTCAAATTCGCTGATCTTTGCTTCGAAGACTGATTGTTGATAAAGTTCATTTAGCTCAGCATTCAGCTCTTGAACTGTAGAATCTTTCGGATTTTGTGTCATTTCGTTGTCGGTTTCAGCTTCTGAAAATGATTGGTTCATACTGTCTTTATCATTTTCCAAAGTTGTTTCATCAAGGTTTATTGTAGACTGCATTGCAATCTTCTCCACCGTGTTTCTTCCCGGCATCATCGTCTTTCACCCCGACATCATTATTTACAAGCATGGCGGTTAATAAGCGTCTCAATAAAACTTGTTTTGTCCCTTTGTGATCAAGACCTCTGATGTTTAGTTCTTCTCGAAGCTTGGGTACGTGAAGTTTTACAATCGCCTCAATGTCTAGGTAGCTCATAGTTGTAAATTTAAGATGAAAATACAGAGCTCGTATATACACGTCTTCACACTTTTGTACTTCAATGATCAATATATATAAATATATATATATATATATATATATATATATATATATATATATATATATATATATATATATATATATATATATATGAATGTTGTGGTTTCCCACGTTTACGATTCCACTCGTGTAACGTTATGTAATGGTTTTTGAGTTGTTTTCGGACGAGTGTATACCAAACCGGGCAAGCAGAAAATTCTACTTGACCGCGGCTGGGATTCGAACCCGCGACCTTCGTCTTTCTAGAACGATGCTCTACCGTCTGAGCTACAAGGTCAAGCTGAGAACGACTTGTTAAGTTATGATGTTAGTTGCATTTCGGAGGTTAGTCCTTCAATGCATAAAGCCAGCTATTAGTCTGGCAATGTTGTATGTGAATGTTGTGGTTTCCCACGTTTACGATTCCACTCGTGTAACGTTATGTAATGGTTTTTGAGTTGTTTTCAGACGAGTGTATACCAAACCGGGCAAGCAGAAAATTCTACTTGACCGCGGCTGGGATTCGAACCCGCGACCTTCGCATTTCTAGAACGATGCTCTACCTTCTGAGCTACAAGGTCAAGCTGAGAACGACTTGTTAAGTTATGATGTTAGTTGCATTT